CCGATCACAGGATCATTTGAATGAACGGTATCGCTTCAGTTTTGCTTGCATCACTTTTTGTAATATTAGCCGTTTTCACGATGGGCTATCCGGCGAATGCACCCGATTTGACCAAACCTGCACCTAATTTCTTTTACAGCAAATATCTTCATATTACGAATTTATTTCAGTGTTTTAATCGATGATGCTTTCTGATAATATGACAAAGCAGGCATATAAGCAATTAGTGCAACCCTAGCTGATAGCTGCTAAGAGACACACTGAACCTGATTTGACCAAATCTGCACCTGATCTGCACCAGATGTGCATCAAATGTGTACCAGATGGCTGTCGTGAAAACGGCTACACCTATCCAAGTTTTCAAGGCATAAAAACAGGTTTGCAAGGAATTTATCATGCGAGTAGCTAATCTCGGTGGCTTTTGCGCTAAACCTATGTTTCAGTCCAGTCTTCAGGTACGCACATTGCACGAATCAACACAACGAATCCGTCAAAACACAAAACACACCTACTCGCATGCACAAGTTTCATAAACAGAAGCTCAAACATTCCCATAAAAACATACGCAGGCACGTGCCACGCGCACAAGGGCAAAACACATCAGTCATCTGCGGGGCCTCGCCCTACTGCCGGCCAAGGTCACAGAGACCCCCTACCCCTCCCCTGGGGGTGTTTGTCCCAGACGAGGGTCAAAGGTCAGCATTCTGACCCTCCGAGGAAGCACCTGTGGCAGCGGCGGTGGCGGCGGCGGTGGCCCCGCCCCAAATATGGGTCAACGAGACGGGGAGAAGGCACGTGCTTCTTGCAGCAGAGAGCCTTGACGTGGGAATGAATAGCCTTCAAGAGAGACTGTAAAAAGTAATGAGCGCTCTGACTTGGGAGAAATAATAGAAAGAAAAAAAATCGGTGAAGTTGTATGGCCCGATCTGAGCATTTCGACAAACAAAATACTTTGATGAGATTTACTTACGCACACATTATTTTTCTGCATTTCGTTGCTTTTGCCAGTAGATAAAAACATCAAGCAAGCACAATGAGGCTTCCAGTTGCATTGCACGCCGAATATGTTCAAATCAGGTTTGGCTGACTTGTAACAAAAATGATTAGACCGATCACTGTCCAATTTACTTCAATGCTCCAATGCTTTCTTAGCCTCTACAAGACGTTTTACTCCTGTGAACTCGGTAAAAATGCTAGCTATTCTCTTTACTTTCTCTTCTTCCATTGTCCGTCAGGGTTTGGAATTATGTATGCAGTTTGTGTTGACACTTGACACCTGGTTTCGTCTGAGTTTTCCAATACTCGAGGACTGAACTCAACAAACTAAGCCTGTCATTTATGCGGCTGTCACTTATCAGCTGCCAGTTGTTGACAGTCATCCGTCAGCTATTCAAGGAGAAAGAGAAACCCGGGCTGCCAAACGACAACCGGGCCCTGCTTCAAGGCACGCCGCTGCAGAGCGCTGAGCTGCGCTTCAGTATTGGTGCGACGCTTGAGGAAAATTTGCCTCGACGGTTCAGCGTTGCGAGCGTCGGGGTTTGTTGACGTTTCCATGGGAACATAATACACCGCTACGTGTAGCGCACTATAGCTATGTGCCATGAAACAGGGCCCGATGTCGGTGTCAAACAAACTGGTGTATTGGACAAGAAGTCAAAGGGATGGGAGGACAAACCGACAGACGGAATCCTAAGCGACCAACAGACGGTGAAACGTAACTATGGGGCTACAGAACAACAGAAAGTAACGAAAGAACATTACAGTGGAGCGACGGAGCATCAGACGGATAAATCCACAGACAGTGTACCAGCCACTGATGGATAGATACGGACCGAACGACTACATGACTTGCAGACCGACAGGCCGACAGGCTGACGGGCCACCAGATCGAATGTCTTGCAAACGGATAGACCCGAAATTTATTGCTGCATGTTTTCGTTAGTGTGACTGTATGACGCCAGTAAATGCACTTTTTCAGAGCGATTCGAATACTGGGGAAAAAGAGCTTCATTTACTTATGAGCTTGGTCTCAGGACTGGTAAAATGAAAAACGGATAAAATTGCATTATGACAAACGACAGGCAGACAGACATACAGACAGACAGACAGACAGGCAGAAAGTTCAATTCTTACCTCATCATGAGCATCCAACTGGTTCTCCACGCTAGTTCATAACTCCTTTCCTCGGCCTTTCACTGAAGTCCACCTAACTCTCGGTCACTCTATCGTCACTCTGGAACTCAACTCGCACTGCTTTGGACACTCAGTAAATACGAGGACTCGGGCACTATATGATAAAACACCAGTCAGTGACGTTTCCACCGCCTTCACAGGCTCCTGGCCAGTCAGGACTGTTGTTGAAGGTACTTGTGTGGCTCCAACACCTCTCAACACTTGAGAGACGTGATTATTATTCCACAGTACAATTCGAATTGTGTGGAGAAGACAGCACTTTTCAATGCACTAGCAAAATTGCAATGTCACAGCGACTGCCAGGCCAATGCTTCCGTATGGTTCAACGCTGCATAGTCTGCTAGCACTTGAAGGCTTATAGACTGCAACCCACACCACACGCTAGCACCACGACGGGAGACTTCAACACAATATCAGGCGCTAGCACAGGCCGCACGGAGACTTCAACGCCCGGCTGCGCGCTGTCCGGGGACTGCAGCGCAGCACACTACAGTAGCACGGGCTCCGCTGAGGTCGGCGGCCGGGCCGGGCGGGGCGAAAGCGATCGGTCCAAGCGAAAGTGGCGGAGCTGGGCGGGCGCTCGACCGGTACAGCCTCTGACAAAGTCAGGGATGCATGGACCGTGTACGGTCGCTGACAGTGAAACTGGCACAACGCGTGCCGCTAGTGTGTTGAGTGTATGGTGTCCGTATGCATAGGCGGCAGAACGGGGAGGGCACCGGGGCACCGTGCTCCCCCTTTAATTTTGGCATTTTAACATTAGCCCTATGGGCGTTGCATGGAAAGAATGGGACCAAAAGTTGGCAGTGCCCCCCTTCCCCTTAATTGAAGGTGTTCCGCCGCTACTGTCCGTGTGTGTATTTTTACAATTGATTAAGATATAAAATGTTGATATTATTCAGTGTGCCTTTAGTCGCGTCACTTATTAAATATGAATAATTCATAGTCATCATTTATACCTATGAAAAAAATTCAAGGAACTGAGTTTGACCGCTGTATAAAGAATTGCCCCCATCAACCGTCAGAGATAGCTGTCATCGCTGACGAGTTTGCCACAAAATAAACAGTTCAAGCAAATCTCACATATCTCACAATTTGAAATCCTCGAAAATTATACCTGAGCACTGTGCTTGTTCTTTCAAACTGTTCTTATGCTACTGTGGCAAGTCCAGAAGCTGCAAGTAGCAGCTCAAGCTGAAAAAGAAAAAGATCTGACGACGGATGGGTACTGGTAGAGGCGGCTCTATACGTAGTCTGTAGCATTTCTCCCTCATGCGCCACAATAGGTACTACAACACTAGCGCCACACTGATGCCTACTCTGGTTCCGTATCTAAGCTCACTGAAGTAGATGTCGCCCCAACAGGACTGCAGAGTAGGAGTTGGCGTGGCGGTCGGAGTCGGCCGGAGTCGACAATCCTCACAGGAGTCGAAGTCGGGTTGGAGTCGATTTTGGAACTGCCAGAGTCGGAGTCGCAGTCAGAGTCACCGAAACATATCGACTCCGCAGTCCTGCCGCCCCAGGAGATAGGATACCTCCCGGATTGTGTGCGTCTACCACGTTCACAAGACTTGCATGACATTGAAGCATACATTTAAAGGGACCCTCCCACCTTAACATTAGTTTTGAGTTGAGATAGCCAAGTTTGCGGCCAGGCTCAGAAACCACCATTTATCCTGGTCGCAACCCCCGCAGCTTTATGGTGTTCAAGAAATTTCTTCCCTTTACTTGCAGGGTGGGACCAGCGTGGTCCCTATCTCTTAACCATTACGGGAATCTGATGACGTCATCAGGCTTTCGAACGTCCGTTAAATGTTTGACTAAAACGTTTTGTAGCACGCGGTGGTATATGCTGCTTTGCGCGCAACAAATGCCGCACTTTCAAATAAAGTCGCTAGGAACAGCGGAGATCCCAAAATGTAAACAAAAGTAAAAGTCTAATATCTTGAAAACCGGTGAATATTTTTCGATGAAATTTGGTAGATATTCGTTTTTGCTCTTTCTGAACCGAGCGACATCACTTTCATGCCAATTCATTAACTTTTTTTGAAGGTGGGAGCCGGGAGGGTCCCTTTAAGCTTTTTTTCCACATACCGTTCCACTAGAGCAAGTCGTAATTTTTACGATGCTTCGATGGCCGCCTCTTCTTACTCAGTGTGGGCCCTGGCCGGCCGCCATTGCTATTTCAGTCGAGAACTGAACGCTGCCCATTGTTTCTCGCTAAGTAGTTGGCCCAGGAGCTGAGTTAGATATCAGGCTCGCTGAAATCCCGAACGGTGTGCCGCCACGGCGGTACAGCCGAGACTGGGACAGGCCAGTGAGCTGTGTTTATGTATACATATGTTATTGCACACTACAGTGCACACCACAAGGTATAGGTCTGCTCCAAAGAAGCTATACTCATTTTCGCATGTCGGGCGATGGTGAAGAGGACGAGTGTTCTTTTGTGTTCACTGGACATGTCCTGTGTTTGAATTGCCCGGCCCGGAACAAAGACTGTAAAATTATTCAGGAACGAAGATACTCCTGCAGCATTGATGTGAGGGATTGTGACTGTCAGTGCTCAGTTGCTTGCTCAGTTGTATCTCTGCTGTTATGCGGCGACTCGAGGGACACCCAGCGCCACCACGGCAACCTAACTTCGCCGCCTAGCGGCCGAGGTTTGCAACAGCATGATTGACTCGACGGACGGTATATCTGTTTGCCTCTGTCTTTATAAACAGTGCTGCTGGCCTAGTGCAATTACCAAGTCCAAAAGAATAGCGTTATCTTGCAATCTTGTCAATAAACTAGGAACAAACACACACTTCCGTAACCGTTTTATTTATTCGCCGTCCTAGCAATACTCTTCATGCAGTGCAGTTCATTAGACCGTCGTATTCTACGTCAGTGCTTCACAACCCTATAGTCTAACGTTACCGAATTTGACAAACACAGCAGTGAGGCAGCCAGTAGATGTCGGTGTACATCTGAGAACCACTGGGGTCGAGGCCGACCAATTTCTTCTGCACGTACTGTTGTTGACAGGAGGCCTCCATTCCGGCGGGTATTGTGCACAGACCTGAGCAGCGGGATGACCTGGGGAGGGACACGGGCGGGTCGGTGGAGTTGATACCTTTGATACCAAACGTTGCAGAGAACTATTTGTGAAATTAAGGATGAAATAATAAATTACAAAAAGTTCATGTTTTTCGATCTTAATGTAAGTTTAGAATTAATAAATTTCACAGTTTATTCCAATGTTCATACATTCATAACTATGGTGCTATTTTACATTCACATATATCTTCCGCCGCGCACAATCTGAGAGCAGAGTTAGCCCCCTCCTTTTGATGCTTTATTTTACACACAAGCAGCGTTTGGTGCACACCGGCTGGGTGTAAATCTAACTCCTCGTATGAGTGCTATTTTATGCTCACAAACAGCGTTCGTCTCTATCCGGGTGTTATTTTATATTCACATGTACCGTTCTGTGCTCACCAGGCTGGGTGTATATCTAACTCCCATTAGGCGTCAGTGTAATTTTACACTTACAGGCAGCGTTCGGTGCGCACAAGCTGGGTGTATATCTAACTCCCATTATAAGTATTATTTTACACTCACAGGCAGCGTTCGGTGCGCACCAGCTGACTGTACACCTGACTGTCGTCGTCCTCATCGTCCACGTTGATTACGTATCTCCATTCGCCGCGGCTGTTGAGGCCTGCCTTCGGCATGACGAATTGCCCTGGAGAAACAAGGATTCTTATGTCAGTCGCAGTGCTACAACAATTCCGTACAGTACAACAAAACAATGCTATTACCGTCAGCTGACAGTTACGATACTAGCAATTTTGTTAGCTACACCATCTCATATGACGTCCAGTGGCGGCGGAACACCTTCAATTAAGGGGGGGGGGCAATGCCGACTTTTGGTCCCATTCTCTCCATGCAACGCCCATAGGGCTAATGAATGATCAGATCAAAGGGGGGGGCACGGTGCCCCGGTGCCTTCCCCGTTCCGCCACCTATGATGACGTCATTAGTACCAACCAATGGTGGGACATAGTCAGGAATCTCTCGTGACATCATTGGTTCATACCTACCAATGGTGGGGCATAGTTGAGGGTCTCCCGTGACGTCATCGCTACCTATCAATTGTGTGACGCAGCTAGTAGTCTCTCCGTCTCGTGACGTCATTAGTACCTACCAATGGTGGGACATAGCTGGGAGCCTCCCGTGACGTCATCTGCCTGCCTCCTCGGTCGACGTTGAGAGGTGAAGCTGTAGCTGGAACATAGACAAAAATAACTATTTTCTTACAACACCGTGCACTGGTGGAACAAAAGCATCGTAGCAGAGATGCCAGAAAATGCGGGCGTTTAACGAGCCCACCATCATAATAATTAAAAGCACAACATCCTGAGGTAATTTGCAAGCTGGTGTCACAAATGCATCGCAGAGACGCCTCTAAAGAAATCGTCGAAAACGTCTTAGATGAAGAAATTTTAGATTAAACTTAAAGGTCTCATGGCTTAGCTTGTATCATAAAGGTGCTGTTTCCTCGCAGTTTAGTTGACTTGCTACGTGAAAATTTTGGCATGAAATGACATTTTTATGGACAAATGAATAAGGAATATTGAGTCAAAAATAATGTAACTGCCTCATTATGCTTTATAAATGCTCTTATAAAAACTTATAGCAATGCTCTTCACATAGATATTTATCAGGCGAAAGACGATTCTGTTTGCAGAGTTTACACTGCTTTTTAAACCAGTGACGTCAAACATCTGAACTCACCCCGGCTCGTCGTCATCCTCGTTACGCCTCGCAGCAAACAGCTGAGCAATAGACTGGTTCGACCCAAACCGTCTGCTTTTGGCGGGCTCGCTGTCATCCTGATCGCTGATTGGTCGACGCCGGCCGGCGGCGTCCCGTGATTGGCTGAAGCTGCGGCGGCCGTACTTTCGGCGACCACGCCTCCGGGAGGGCGTCTGACTGAACAGAAAGAATTCAGAAGGACAGCTGGTAAGAATCATGGCATGCTTTGTGGTGTAAATGGATTTTTACTGCTACCTGTGCCAAGCTTTTGACCATGTGAATGTCAAGGCTTGGACTAAGCAATATTGCTATTACAAAGGGTTGACATTTATTTTGTAATGACACCTCTAGGCTCTAGGCATATAACTATATTTATTTTTCAGGAAAAGCAATTATATGTGATAAGAATCTATTCGTGTCTCTCTGAACACATCCCATGCTCTTTTCGGGAATTCGGCGTTTTTTAATGAATGTACTTATCCGTCGTCGTTAAAGGGTAAGATTAACAGCGTAAGGATTAGATGTTTCTTCTTAAACACCATGCTTCTCTCTCTCTCTCTCTCTCTCTCTCTCTCTCTCTCTCTCTCTCTCTCTCTCTCTCTCTCTCTCTCTCTCAACTCTCTCTCTCTCTCTCTCTCTCTCTCTCTCTCTCTCTCTCTCTCTCTCTCTCTCTCTCTCTCTCTCTCTTCTGTAACTCACGAAGGAGTGCTGGTCAATGTTTCAGACTTTTCACTAACGAAGACGGATGACAAGTCGTACTTCCACTGGGTCAAAAGGCGACGAATGACGTCACTGGAATGCAACACAGGGAAATGACGTCAATGGTGCGTATGAAACATACCAGGGCTTTTGGTCGCGGATGCGTCAGTGAATGGCTGGCTGAGATAAAAAAAAACAATTAAGCTGTTTGGAATGCTTGATGAATTCATAGTGAATTTATATAATGGTTTAGGCAAGTACATCACCAAAATACAGTATAGAACATTCAAAATACTATTTTATTATCCTTAAGTATGGTCGCCTACGTTGACTTTTGGTGATTGATGAAATGTTTTCACTGTAAACTAGGAAATAACTTATGTTGGGTAACTGATGAACGGGAAAGCACACCGGTGATCCATGAACACCTGACATTAGATTTAAGAGTACTATCTCACTCGAGATACGCATTTATAACACCTGTGACAAACGCAATGCGGTTATTTCACCTCCACTACACACAGTAACACAATAAAATGCAATACAATACACAGAACCATTTCTGACAAAATAACGGGCATCCCACCTTCATACACACGGTAATCTCACCTCGGGAGCGCACGTTAATCTCACCTCGAGTAAGTACACGGGTTTATCACCCCCCCCCCCCTGGAACACACGTTAATCTCACCTCGAGTAAGTACACGGGTTTCTCACCCCGGTACACACAAGTTTCTCACCTCGGGTAGACGGGCACCTCACCTGGGGTAGACGGGCACCTCTGCACAGTAGGTTAGTCCCCCGCGGGCACAGCGGGGACTCTTCCCGGGCGGTGCCGGCTGGTACAGAAATGTACCGTTATGGGGTACGGTACCGAACGGACCAGAGTGACTCTCTGGTACGTACTCCTCCTGGAACAGGTACACGGAGGTGTACACGGAGGTACACGGAGGTGCATATTAGAGATGTCAATCGGATACCAACTTTTTGGTATACCGATACCAAACCGACACCAACTTGGTATCTGGTATTTCAATCCTAATGTGTTTGGTATTTTGTTGATACTAAGCCCTCACTAATGTATAAGAGGCTAATAAATCGGTAAAAAATTGGTATTTCCCTCAGTTTCCCAAGTTGGTTTGGTTTCGGTATTTTCCCGTGGTTTTGGTTGGTATTTGGCTTGGTATCGGTATTCCGATTTTCCGTAATTGACATCACTATAGTCCATTTTTCTTAAGTTTGCCCCTCACTGTAAACGTCTCTTTGAACACAGCACGAGAATTGCTAGCTGAATTACTGAGAAAACTGGTAAGCGCACATTGTATTGTAGATATGAATAATATTTTCAAAAATAAGTTTTAAACACCGACGATTTAACGTTATGTTAAGCGCCGTGCTATTTATTTATTAGTTCAGACATAATTCCTGAGAAGTCGTCTATCTCTGTGGGGCTGTAGGTATTGGCAAATACGAGCTACGAGTCTGTGAAATAGTAAATAAATTTGATGAAATTGATCGTCTGTGAAATCTGGTCAAATCATTGTGCGTCATCCAGTTTTCTCAGTAATTCAGCTAGCAAGTCTCGTGCTATGTTCAAAGAGACGTTACCGAAACTTACCGAAACAAAGAAACTTAACCCGCGCCCTGCTGGGGGGGTGTTTGAACACCCCCTTGTGGTTTTTCGTGAATATCTCAAAAACGGCGGCGCGGAGCGCCGCCGTTTTTGGTACACCTTATCACACATTAATTCTACACATGTTGTAAAAATGTCAGACCAAGGTCATTCAAGGTCAGGTCACCAGGTCACTTGAAGTGACCTCACCTCATAAAACGTTTCAATGTCTGTCATAGCTACACCGAGTGACCGATTGCTTTGAAACTTTCAGCGATTGCTAAGAGCAATAGATAGCATGTACAAAATGTATATCTCAGAATTTTATTATCGATGACCTAAGGTCAGGTCAATTTTGCGACCTCCCCATTATAAGTCAATGGGAGAAAATTGAAATGCGCCTCTTTTGGACGAAAGACATTATAAACACTCCCAAACACTGAATTACAATTGGTTTAGACACACTGAACATGAAAATGGTGTCTGTGACCCCTGTTTATGCTCTGAGGTCATCTTAGGTCACGAATGGTATCTAACGGTTTTTCGCAAATAACTTTTGATAGAGGCATGCTAGAGCGATGAAAACGCCTTAGATGTGTTCAGATCCACGATACGGATCGACTGATATGCAACATAACCCTTTCCGGTCAGGTCATGACCTTGACCTGAGGTCAAATTTTCAAGTTGACCTTTCAAGGTCAAGCTATAGTTAATTCGATGTGTCTTGACAAGAGGAACACGATGCCGGTAAAAAAAAGCTCGTACAAGGCTTGGGTCAAAAGTTATTGCAGAAAAACTGTTTCCGAAAAAATCGGTTATTTTTGCAGTTTTTGCCCCCTGCAGGCAAAACCGCTGACGTTAGGTCAAATCTGAGAGAATTATTCAAAAAGGGCGTTAATAGGGCTATCGAATGCGCTTTTCTGCGGCGCTGTAGCTCTATTGGTTCCCAAGTTATGCGTTGGCTTCTTGGAAATTGTCGACATTCGACCTGGAAATCGGCGAAATTTTGCCTTCAATGACCTCTGATGACCTGACCTTTGACCTGACCAAAAAATTGACCGAAGTGATTTCCTCATTATTTTTGACGCATTTTCGAACGCCGCCTTCCGCGTATCGCTATGTGGCCCAGGAGCCGAGTTAGAAGGGGGGGGGTGTTCAAACACCCCTCCCCCCCAGCAGGGCATGGAAATCCAGGACCCCCAGCCGGGCGCGGGTTAATCAATATGTTCACAAAGCAATTACGTAATCAGCTGTTACTAACAAGTTCAACTAACACCTTATTGATGTCGGTACATTTGTGAAATAACTGGTGTCGGTGATGTCATGGTTGATGCGATTTAGCGCTGGCATCTTTCGAATATATTCTTTGAGTTTTCAATTCCATGCTGTTTTTTGTTCAGTGACGTAATAAACAAACTTTGCATCAACACTTTTCTGCTCGGTTGATTTTCTTATCTTATTACTTTTAAATTTCATTATAATTATATTCTTAATTTTGTTGTGTGAAATAAGCGATCTTCACTAATTAGGGCAATGCTAGATCATGTTGAACGAGTTCAGGAAAAGTGATTTCAAGTTCCGCGGCCAAAGAAAGAGAGGTTTACACGTGTTATCTTGTTTGAGGCGCAGTGCTGACCGGAATATCGTGTCTAACCACGCGCTACAAGGAAGTTGAATGAAAGTAAACTATGTTGTTACATGAGATTTAACGCTAGAGCCGATGTATGCGACTACATTCCGAGCGAAACAACTGTTAAAAGAGTGCATACCTAGCTACCCCTAGACAAAAAGTGTTTTTATCAAATATCGTAACTGGGTTGTGACTTTACTAGGCAAGAGTACACGGAAATGGGGAAAAATCGCAAAAAAAACAGCAAAAAAATAGCACAGGAAACGACGAAATATTAAATCAAACTAAAATACAACATGCCGCGTACTGTAACTACAGTGCATAACCTTTCTTCGATCCATTTAATACGCATATGCATAAATCATTTGAAGAGCTTCATGAGTGACCGAATGATATTAAATCCACATATAGATTATTATAACGGCATTATTATATCAAATGCATTGTCATGCTTATATGCTTTACAGTATGCGTTTGAACAGATGTGAGATAACAACAAAAGACGTGATTTTGAAAGAAAATTGATGAGTAGTAGACACATAGATAGTGGAATATTTTTGTTCAATTACTAAACTACATAGTAATGCAGCACACCTTTTGTCTGACACGTGAGAAGCTCACATCTTACCAGTTTGATGAAGTCTGCCAACGTGTTGGCGAGGGTGGCCTTCCAAATTAAGCTGCAAATCAGCAGCCACAGGCAGGATGTCCGCCTTCGCAACAGCGCAGCACAGCTTAGCTGAAAAAGAGGACAAATAAGAAATAATTTGTGGACCTTATGAAAATGTAATTTAGTGATCCAAAATAAGATGAATAATTTTCATAACACAAGTCGATGTGTAACAAAATACGTAAAATTCACCTCTCGCACAGTTTTCATTATCGTTGAGTCATCAAGATAGTGCGATCTTATCAGTCAAGTGTGTGATGTCGCGTTACCAATGTGGTTAACTTCATTCAGGTCACCTAGATTGGGTCACGTATGAGCATCGTCCATATGCAAGCTCTCTCTCTCACTCTCTCTGTCTCACTCTCTCTGTCTCTCTCTCTCTCTCTCTCTCTCTCTCTCTCTCTCTGTCTCTCTCTCTCTCTCTCATTCTCTCTCTCTCTCTCTCTCTCTCTCTCTCTCTCTCTCTCTCTCTCTCTCTCTCTCTCTCTCTCTCTCTCTCTCTCAATTTAGATAGAATATACCTACTGCCGAAATGACAAAGCGAAACCAATGACAAGCACGATTAGAGCGCATTAAGCAGGCCCCTATCCCTATTGTTCGATCGGGCCATTCCAGATTATCATAATAATTTGATGAATCCCAGGGGATAAAGGGCACATGACCATGATGCAGGGCACATGACACTCACACGACCACAGCTAAAGTCAACTAATGGAAAAATATACCTCAAGAGACCACATACCTAGTACTGTCCGTTTAAATTAAAGAGACACCGAAGTGCATTGAAAGAAACAAACTGCCTACTGTCCCTGTCGCCTAAAGAAACGTCCAACAGTGTCCCTGGCTCGACAGACCTTGACTTTAGCCACTCGTGACTCGACCGAGCTGCTGTGTTATCACCACCGGTAGTCCCTGCAGTCTGCAAGTGCAGTCCCAGTCCGTCCCCACTCCCCTCCCCGTCCGTCTCCACACCCCTCCCCACCACCACTCGTACACGACCCGTTCCGCTCGTGCGCACACAGCCAGGGGTACCGCGGGGGGTCAGGGGTGGAAGCGGTCAGGTCAGGGTGGTCCACCGCTATAGTGATTCGCACACAATACCGGAAATTAGCATTCGTGATCACGAGTTGTTCATGTGATCGAGATGTGATTGCGGGGTGTTAGGGAGTCGTGCGGAGCGCTCCGGAGGTTAGGGATTTACAGCCTGTGCAAGCAGAACGGACAGAGATTAATGGTTTAGTGACGTAAGGAGGGGTAGGGGAAAAGGTTTACAAATGCGTAGAAGAAAAGTGAGCATGTGTGCGTGCTGCATGTTTTTACTAGTGAAGACACGTTCCATGCCTAAACGTCTGTTTTTTTTTGTTGTTGTTGATTTTATTGTTCTTGTTGTTCTTGTTGTTGTTTTGGTGTTGCATTTAAAGGAAAGTGGAGCAGAGCAAACATGAAATGTTGGAACCAATAATGGTATATTGGCTTAGTGGAGACAACGATAAAAATACCATGTTGGATACGCAACTGCAGCGAACGGGATAAGCTGGTGTGACTGAGAAATTGGAAGGAACCTGGCGTAAGAACGAAGCAGAAGGGGAAAATTGACGGTACGAAATAGCACGACCATGAATTTGAAAGTAACGAGTAACTTTTCTTTTCAAAAAATCGCACCCGTTAGTTTGAAATTATCATATATTATCTTAGTTGAATCAATTTTATTGGTAATAAATGTGTACTGGGTTATTCTATGGATGCAGTTGCTAAAATGAAATCAAACACTCATTCGAGCTCATTGCAGTGTTCGATGACTTGCAAACTGCAGACAGGTGCAGACAGAGAGCATGATTTTTCACGGCTACCGGCTCTGGTAAGTGGCTTTGTGCACCAAATGATGAAGGTCATCCGTTCAGCGATTGCAGGTGCGATACGGGATGAAATCTGATCAGTCGGAGAGTACAAACAGAATCGATAGATGTGGTAACAGATAATCGCGGCGGTGCTAGGAATGGTGCCAACTGGGCAACTGTGAGTAGGAACGTTTGTGAACTATAATTGGATTTGATGACTAATACGATGAGCTGGTGTGTCATGACCTTTCTCTATTTTCTACCCCGCTGCAAAGCTGCCACGTCACACTTCTACGCGGAGCCCCGAGAAGGTTAGCAAAGTTAGGATCCATGACTGAGTATGTCTATGAGTAGGTAGGTACTTGCAAGAGTGGCCCGAATGCATCTGTATATATTGTATATTGCGTGGTTGCGGAGAAGCTGGTGTACATATGTGTCCATGATCGACAAACCATAAACCGGTCTCCGTTATTTGCATGTTTTTTTTTATTTCAAGCGATTCCAATGGTCACCGTCTAACCTATCACCATACATTTTATACATGCTACAGATAATTCCAGCCTATAGCCAGAGACCTGTCTCATCATTCGGGTCTGCTGCCATGCTCCAGAACATTGCGTGAAGACACTGAGTTTCAACAAAATATAGGCATCATTTAAATACCGAGCATGCATCTTGTGACTACTGTGAAAACATCAGATGTTCGGTTACATATGTCGGCTGGAAAATGATCTCCAAGAACTATTACATAAACACGATCAGTTAAATTGGCAAACATTAATACGAGTGTTTCTTTCCCTTGATTAATACCATTAACACAAAATAACCAAACAAATTTATGATGATTTACAAACTGTGATTGACGTAATGGCGTCCTCATTTTTATTCGCGTTTTCATTACATAGATAAAAAAGATATCGTCCTTGGACTTTGGTATAAGATGTAAATCGAGAATAACGATACCAAAATATCAACAATAAATTCAACGATTCTTATGCCACGATTATCATCCTTCCATGGGACTCCACGGCGCGACCAAGGTACACCTACTGTATGACAAATTGTGGCTTGTAGATGACAAAAGTGTGATGGTATGGGTGGTATGCTAAGAGAATTAGGCAGCTTTTTTTAGCTTAATTCGTGGAGCTTGGTAAGAAGTGAGTGGCAAGGGTGAGGATAGAAGAGAGAGAGAGAGAGAGAGAGAGAGAGAGAGAGAGAGAGAGAGAGAGAGAGAGAGAGAGAGAGAGAGAGAGAGAGAGAGAGGCTCATAATTCACATCAAATAATTTACCGTTTTTGCAAATGCATCGCTTATACCGGCGCTCATTCGTACCCAATAAAATCTCGGAATTTCCTGACTATTCCCCGCCAGTAAATTCACCACACCATTAACGTCCCGGGCCGTCCCACAAATGCCCAGTCACTGAGCATAAGTGTCCACCGAGTCATCGTTTTTCGCTCTTGAGCTTCTTCCCAAACGCCACTGAGGTGGGGATCCATGACATCTGAATTTATAAAGGTCAGCTGAGAGACTCCGTTATATCTGTTCCTAGTGTCCGTCCTTGTCTCGTAAGATTCAATTAACGACAATTAACGAATTAATAACATGTGAAGAAAAAAATGATCAATCTAAACCCCTTGCTCCTGACGTATGGCTTTTAGGTGGTTGGGATTTGCTTTGAAATGGCCTTAGATGACTCATGCCAGGGTACATAAATTATTGTTCCCATGAGCTATGATGGAAAATAATGTTTTTATTTATCTTATTTCGAATAACGATTTCGATTTAGGCGTTTAAATAAATTCATGATTTGAAAATATTTTCCATAAAAGTTATTTGGTGCAGATTTGGTCAAACTAGGTGCAGTTGCCACTTGCCAGATTGCCCGTCGTAACGGCTAATATACACGAATGATAAAAAGTGAGTCGTCAGGAGATCATCGGAAGACAAAAACAAAAATCAAGTCCATTACACCGAATACTGCGATTGTAAAGCATTCTAGCACCATATATTTCCAGTAAAATGTAACTGTACTTAGCCTCTATATAACTTCCGTGCGATGCGGTGCCAGACAGCTCGCTAGGTGTCCTTGACGCACTAGTTTTGTAGTCCGGCAGTTCCGGCACTTAAATGGTGCGTGTGCGACCCCCCCCCCCTCAGACAGAGGGGGGGGGGGGGGTTCAGACGTCACTACCGAGCACGAGCTCCAGGGGAGGGGGAGGGGAGGGGGTCACGATATACAGTCTGGACACTCCAATGCTGCAAGGGAGGGCCAAGGAGGGTTTAAACAGGTGCGATGGATTTATCGGAGATAGATCGTGGATTTATTGGAGATAGATTGATTGATTGATTGATTGATTCATATTTTATTTATAGAAGCATTTTCACAGTCATACATTTACACGGATTGGTGCAGAAGCGACAAGCGCTTATCTCTAAGCACCTCTCCCAGTTCCCTACAAGGTAGGAGGCACGACCACCGCCCCCGACCGCCCAGCCAGCAGACCAGAAGCAGAGCCGCCCGTCGCCAGTCCGCCTATATTATGCTTAGAGAAATTACTTCCAAAAGCGTGCTTTTTATATGAACCTACCAGTGCCAATGATATAATTTTGAATGGCCCTGACCAGTTCCCCGCCGCCGCCGCCGCCAATACCTTGACCCTCTAGGAGAATTTCGAGTTGTCTTCTAAAAGAAAAAGCGTCAAAGTCGTGGAATACAGTGGAGACAGAGTTAAAAAGAAGCGTCCGTTCGTCAGCGTAAAGAGGGCAGTGCAGCATAAAGTGACGTGAGTCCTCCCAAGGATGACCGCACTGACAGGCCGCATCTTGGGTGTCCTTAGATAAAACTGTGAAGAGGTGTGCTTTTAGGGTGGACATGTGCAAACGAAGTCTAGTGTGGAGAGTGTTGCCTAGCTTGGATCCTGAGGAGAAGAAAGGGTTGGGCTGGGGACAGAAGTGCTGTCTTACTTCATTGGAAAACTTAGAGCGTGATCGGATCTGACGAATATGTTCGGGGAGGGAATTCCAGGATCTGGTAGTTTCAGGGATGAAGGATCGCTGGAAACAGGATAGGCGGTTTTTCGGGAGCGTGAGCAGTGATGAGGTGCGGAGGTTACGTTGAGTCGAGTCCTGGCGCGTCGGCGTGATTAGGTCTGTTACATAGGCAGGAGTTGATGGCGGTGGATGGCGGAGTTGATGGAAAAATGTCAGTCTGTGAGTCAGTCGTCTTGT